AAATACCTGAAGTGGTGCTATGGCTCAAGTGGTAGAGCTAGCTTTCAACACAAAGAGGCTCAAGGATAGCACCCAGGCCCTGAGCTCAAGCCCCACAACTGACAAAAAAAAAAAAGCCTAAGCCTTTAACAAGTGGGCTTTTGGGGGGTATTTAAGATCCAAACTATAACATTCAGTTCATCTGGAAAATATGGGGAGTAACGTCCAGAATGCATTGCAGGTGAGATGTGTACATTCAAAGACCCAGATGGAGCATCCATTAGGTCTCAGATGAGTAACACAGTGATTTTTTTTCTCCTGTCAAGCATGATACCTTGAGACTCTAGCCTTCCCCTTGTATTTCTCACTTTTTTCCCTCTGTGAGGTGTGCTCAGCACAATATCTGCCTGGTCAGTAGTTTACAATGAAAAAGCAATTTTCCTGCAGGGACCAGAGATCTCAGGAGACAAACCTGAGTAGGTGGAGCCGTAAGTACCACCCAGGAGCATTTAACAGAGGCACATCTGATGCTCACACACTGGTCCAGGCTCTGGGGATGTAGGTAGAAAAGACAGCCATGGCCTCTTCCCACAAGGAGATACATTCTGGTTCCTCATTTTTTATGAACATGAGTAGATGCTCACTAAAGGTTTGGAGAAGTTGAGTAAGATAGTTCACCTTGATTGTGAACTTGACTGGATTGAGAAGGAAACATCTATGAGATTCATAAAGCAGCCAAGTGCTGGTGGTTCATGCCTGTAATCCTAGCTACTCAGGAGGCTGAGATCTGAAGATCGTAGTTCAAAACCAGCCCAGGCAGGTAGTCTGTGAAACTCTTATCTCCAGTTAAAGAAAAAGCCAGAAGTGGAGTTATGGCTTAAATAGCAGAGTGCTAGCCTTATTCAAAAGGAGTTTGGGGACAGTGCCCCAGCCCAGAGTTCAAGCCCCAGGACTAGAAAAAAAAAGAGATAATAATAAGCATAAATCTGGATATGTTGATGGTATTGCCAGAGATGATTAACTAAAGGGGAAGATATATCCTAAAATATGGGTGGCCTCGTGCCTTAGTCTGGGGCCTGAAATGGAATGAAGAGGGAAGTAGTTGACTTGCACAGACATTCTCTCTCTCTGTTTCTTGTCCACCCTGAAGTCCTACACAAGCATAAGGGGCCAAGCCATAGTGGACTTGAACCTTCTGAAGTCATGAGCTACAATATCTCCTGCTTCTGCTTTAAGTTGTTTACATGAGGTATTTTGTCACAGAGGCAAAACACTAGCGAGCAGCCAGCAGATGGCCACTGGGAGAGGGAAGACAGAGTGGGGGAAAGGGTCAAATGATAGGTCTCATAAAGAGATCATGGGTAAGACAGGCTGCAGGTGTTATTCAGAGGTATCTAGTGCCTGATCCCAACTCTTGGTTCTAAGAAACTTTCCAAAGTGGCACTGTGGTTAGGCACAGAGCTCACCTTCATGGCTCTTTCCACTCATCTGTCCTCACACCCATGACTGTCCTCCAGGGCCTGGTTTCTATAGTGACCACCAAGAACTGGCCCTTACCCCCCTGTCTCCTGTCCCCAGGTTCCCAAGGGTTCTTACTAATACCTCTGCTCCTTATACCGAAGGAAAACAGGATGGAAGCAGAGCAAATAGAAGTTACTATACACACACACACGCGCACACACACACACACACACACACACACACACACACACACACACACCCCTAATAAAGGACATTTCAAAGGACTCAGGCACCACTTCATTGAGAGCCTTCTCATTACAGCCCCTTCAGCTCCCAGCTGACAACTTGATAATTCTCTGATAGCACAATCTTGGTGGCTACTGCAGCTGCCTTGACACTGTCCTTCTTGCAAGAAAGATTTCCAGATAAAAGAATGAGCTGTGAAATCACCATTAAGGCAGAGAGAAAGGGCTTACAGAAGGAATCCTCTCTCCCTACCTCCCTCCCTCTTCTCCCTCTCCTCCTACTATTTTTCCTTCCTTCTCTTCCTCTTCCCCCTCTTCCCCTCTACCACTATTACTGCTACTATTACCTCTCTCCTTCCTCCTCCCCTCCCTTTCTTCTTCCTCCTCTCATCTTATCCTCTCTTCCTCTTCTTCCTCCTCCTCTCCTCTTCCTCTTCCCCTTCTCCTTCCTCCTGTCTGTCACTCTCTTCCTTTTCTCACCACTCTCTACTTCTCTCCTGCCCTCCTCCCTTCACCCCTCTTCCTTTTCTCCTCACGCATCTCTTCCCTTCTTTTCTCTCTTGTTTTGCTGCCAAAAATAGTCCAATTACAACAGAAAACTTGAAGAGAGAGGAAAAAATTCCACTATAGATAGCTGATTAAAATGTCCTATGAAAACTAATTTGTAAAGCTCAAATCAGAATAAAAAAGTATCATTTCCACAAGCCAAGGCCAATTTGGTTTTTAACGAGCCTCTTCAGAGATGCAGCCAGACCCTCTCCAGGCTGCAAACCAGCCACCTGCCTTCTGCGTTGACACCTGTGCAGGGTTGTTTCCTGCCCTGGGGTTGTACCTCACTCTCCACTGCAAACCCAGCTTCCCTCATCTTCCCGACCCCACCTGCTGCTGAGAGCTGGAGTCCACGTGCAGTCCAGGCCTGGACTTTGTGCTCCCTAGAAAGACAGCAACCAGTGTCTCAGATCTCAGTGGTGCTGGCTTGGAGGGGAGAAGCCATGGCAGCAGCTGGCTCCATTTCCCTTCTTCGTATGTCCACATCTGCAGGGTTAAACAAGAGCAAGGACTAAGAATACCAACAGGACAAGCCAGGTTCCACCATTCTTTAACTGTGTGACCTTGAGCAGGTCACTATGTCTCTCTGATCATGGGTTTTGTTTTGTTTTGTTTTTTGGGGGGGGGTCCGGTCGTGGGGCCTGAACTCTGAGCCTGGGTGCTGTCCCTCAGCTCTTCAGCTCAAGGCTAGTGCTCTACCACTTGAGCCACAGCACCACTTCCGGCTTTTTTTTTTTCTTATGTGATGCTGAGGAATCGAACCCAGGGCCTCGAGCACGCAAAGCAAGTGCTCTACCACTGAGCCACCTTCCCAGCCCCTGTTCGTGGGGTTTTTGTCCTTTAAAATGAGGGCGGTGCATGCCCTGAAACATAAGTAGATAGACTACAGGGAAAAGGAGGTCGTGTAATGCACTGATGACCCCCTATGCCATTGTCCATTCAAATGTGTCCCTCCCAGGAACAGGATCACACCATCTCCCTTCTTCAATGCCTGCCTCCAGGACAGACTTAGGTCACTGCAGCCCAGCATGGGAGAATTTGTCTTCAGAGCCAAGAAGAATTAGATTCCCATCCCTCACCCCACCACAGACAGCTCACTGGGAAGTTCAGTGAACTAAGCCCTCACTTCCTACCCCCTGCTGAAATCTGATGATGCTCCCTGTGGGTGCTGTTTTCATGGCTCCTGCAGGCACAGTAAGCACCCAGGAACGGAGAGTGATGAGCCAGCTCACCCCAGTTACATCTCCTCACCAACCTGTGCTTTGCTTCCTCTTCTGGAAAATGGGAACTAAAAAAAAAAAAAAATAGTGCCTACTATTTTTAGGTTGTTTTAAGAATAAAATAAATATTAATGAGCTAATCTTCTCTTGAGAATGTTAGAGAAGAACTTGGTGCCTTGTACACATGGCATGTTTGTGTAATAGAACATGAACTGGTCGTGGAGATCGTTGTGTTACCTTATTCAGAATTGTGGATGGGACACATAGGCTTCAGGGAGGCTGAGCAGGGCCTGCTGCAGAGAAGGAGAGGATAGTGATGAAGGAAAAGAGTACAACCACTCTGGACAGTAGTCCGGAGTAGTCCTTAAAAAACTAAACATAGCTCTTCCCTACAACTCAGCCATACCACTCATGGACCTCTACCATAAAGACACTTGCACATTCATGTTCGTTGCTGCACTATTCACAATAGCCAAGCTATGGGAACAACCCAGATGCCCTACAATAGATGAGTGGATCAAAAAAAAAAAAATGTGGTACCTATAATGGACTTTTACACAGCCATTAGAAAGAATAACATTATGTCATTTGCAGGGAAATGGAAGGACCTAGAACAAATCATGTTAAGTAAAGTATGCCAAGCTCAGAGAGACAAACAGTGCATGTTTTCTCTCATTTGCAGAAGCTAGTTCTAAAATACACGGGGACATGATAAATTATACGGGACTCTAGGCATTCACACACAGTGAGACCAAAGGAGGAGAAGAACAGAAAGGCATAATACTTATGCGCCTCTGATCATATAAAGTAGTATTTATCAAAATGAACTCCAGGAAATGGAAACAAGAGGTTTTTCAAAGAAAAAAAAGGGGACAGGATAGGGAGAGGATACAGTGAAACACAATCACCAGCGCTTACCACTCCTGATCCTTTGTACTCTCAGGATTTACTAAAATCGCATGACTTTGAAAGCAAGAGGAGTTAAGAAAATGTCCCATGGTAAGAAGAGAGTGGCCTGTTCCAAAGGTGGCTGGGCAGGATGTGAGGGCGATCTGGCTGCGACATCTGTCACCCCATTGATGGCCAGGGTTGATTCGGCTGATCTGGCTGGCTAGACGGGTGGCCCCTTCCTCCCTCACCACTCCATGTGCGTCCCTCCCGAAGCTGCGCGCTCGGTCAAAGAGGACGACCATCCCCGATAGAGGAGGACCGGTCTTCGGTCAAGGGTATACGAGTAGCTGCGCTCCCCTGCTAGAACCTCCAAACAAGCTCTCAAGGTCCAAAGGTGGCTGGGCGTGGCCTGTGGAACCTAGGAGCATGGCTGGCCCCTTGGTGGAGTAAAGACTGATTAGTAGAGAGGTTGAATAGAGGAGGAAGGGGAAGGGATCAATCCACAAAAGCAAGAGATACCGGATAGTCGGAGGGCCAGCAAGAAACTCTGGAGGAAGTCCATACCCCAGGGCCAGCTCTGGTTCCAGAACTTGAGGAAAGCTCTTCAGGTACAGCTGCCTGCACTAACAGACTATTGTGCTTCTCCCTTTCCTAGGCCAAGTCTACTCCTTCAGCCAGCAGCCCCAGGACCAGGTGGTGGTATCTGGACAGCCAGTGACACTGCTGTGCGCCATTCCAGAATACGATGGCTTCGTTCTGTGGATCAAAGATGGTTTGGCTCTGGGAGTAGGCCGCGATCTCTCCAGTGAGTACTTCCAGACTCCCCAGAATGGTCCAGTACCTGCCACTGCCTCTTCCACCCATCTACCCCCACAGAGAACACCCTGGCCCATCTCTGCAGACATTGAGGGGTCAAACCTCCCATCCTCATTGCAATTCCATGGGTAATCAAGCTAGACCAATCCTGAATCTAGAATCTCTAGGAGTGAGGGGGCCTCAGAAGTCAGTGAACTACAAAAGACCCTTCATTCTGGTGATGAGTCCAGTGTTCTGTGGAGAGCCAGTATCAGACATGATTGACTTCAAGTCTGATTTCTGCAAATCAAGTGTTCCTATTTCTGGGCCCCAAATACATCACCTTTTATCAAGGTGTGATCCATCATCCCATCCAACAAGAGAATCAAGTCAATGAAAGCTGTATTTTAAAAATCCTGGTTAGAACCCAGATGCCCCTCGGTAAATGAATGGATCAAGAAAATGTGATATATAGATATATATAGATATAGATAGATAGATAGATAGATAGATAGATAGATAGATAGATAGATAGATAGATAGATAGATAATGGATTTCTATGCCTTCATCAGAAAGAATGGCATTGCCCCATTTGTTAGGAAATGGAAAAACTTGGAAAAAATTATATTAAGTGAAGTAAGCCAGGCCCAAAGAAACATAGTTCCTATGGTTTCCCTTATTTGCAATTACTAGTATATGTCTGAGACAAGGAGAAAAAGTCAAAAGCTATGTACCTATGACCAGATAAGATGATGTTAAGAGAAATGAACCCCAAGATAGGGACACAAGTGTTTTTTTCTTTTTGCTATTGTTCCTAATGTATTTATAATGTACCATGTGACTGTTTTGTTTCTTCATATGTTCCTCCCAATGGTATAACCCATTTTCACTGTATTTGATGTCGGTGTCCTGCATCTTGTATATACACTTCTCTAACTTGGGGAGGGGAAGGGAAAAAACAAAATGCTTAAATAGGTATACAGGTTGACCCATTGTAACAATGAGATGTACAAGACACTATGTTGAAAAATGAACTTTACAATTTAGGTGGGGAGGAGGTCGGGAGGAGGAGGGGGAGTGTAGCTGTGGAGGTGGGAGGGAAGGGATGGTAGGGAAAAACGAAGGAGGAGGTAACAATGCTTAATAGGAAATGTACTCATTACCTTGTTCATGTAATTGTAACTCCTTTGTACAGTATTTTTACAATAAAAAACATATTTTTAAAAAGTCCTGTTTAGCCTTAGTGGTAACTTCTAAGAAAAGACAAAGCCGGGCTTTGCACCTATAATCAGGTGGCTTGCACCTGAAATCCTAGCTCTAAAGAGGTTAAGATCTGAGGATCCCAGTTCAAAACCACCCCAGCAGGAATGTCCATGAGACTCATCCCCAATTAACCACCACCACCAAAAAAAAAAAAGACTGAAAGTGAAAGCTGTGGAGCTGGAATAGAGCACCAAAAGTATGCAAAAAAAAAAAAAAAAAAGCCAAGGGACAGTATAAGAGTACTGAGTTCAAGCCCAAGTATAAAGAAGGAAAGGAAGAAAGACGGAAGGAAGGAAGGAAAGAAGGAAGGAAGGAAGGAAGGAAGGAAGGAAGGAAGGAAGGAAGGAAGGAAGGAAGGAAGGAAGGAAGGAAGGAAGGACGGACAAGAGGGAGGGAGGGAGGAGAGAGAAAAGAGAGAAAGGAAAGGGCTGGGAAGGTGGCTCAGTGGTAGAGAGCTTACCTGGCATGCATGAGGCCCTGGGTTCGATTCCTCAGCACCACATAAGCAGAAAAAAAAAGCCAGAAGTGGCACTGTGGCTCAAGTGGTAGAGTGCTAGCCTTGAGCTGAAGAGCTGAGGGGCAGCACCCAGGCCCAGAGTTCAGGCCCCACGACCAGACCCAAAAAAAAGAAGGAGAGAGAAAAAGAAGGAAGGAAGGAAGGAAAGAAGGAAGGAAGGAAGGAAGGAAGGAAAGGAGGGAGGGAGGGAGGGAGGGAAGGAAGGAGGGAGGGAGGAAGGGAAAGAGAGAAGGAGGAAATGAGGGAGGGAGGGAGGGAGAAAAAGGAGAGAGAAAAGAGAAAGGAGAGAGAAAGAGAAGGAAGAAAGGAAGGAAAGAAAGAAAGGAAGGAAAGAAGGAAGGAAGGAAGGAAGGAAGAAAGAAAGAAAGAAAGAAGAAAAGAAGGAAGGAAGGAAGACTAAAGGAAGGAAGGAAAGAGTAAAAAGAAAGAAGAGAGAAAACAATGAAAGAAGAGAAACAAAGAACAGAAAAGAGAAAGGACAGGAAGGATTCATAATAAATTCCAAACACATGCAGCCACGCAGTGTCTACCCTGGGGGAGGGTCCCCACGGCTGCCAATGGTGGCCATGTGACTTCCTTAGTCAGTTCCCATGTTGTGTCTTTGGTTAAGTCCTATTCATGGCCACCACAAGCTCAGCTAAGCACCTTTCCAATGTACACTCTTCCCTGGGAAAAAAAGGAATGGAGCCATCTTCCTGGTCACTCACCCATTGGCCATTATTACTCAGCCCTGGGACAGGTAGGGCCGTGGCTACTTGCTAGGGTTGACACACGCAGTAAAGTTCAGAAGGACAGATCTGGGTATGGTTCTCCCTGAGTTTTGGGAATGGCGGAGGGCGGAGGCACAGTGAGAAATATGTATTCAGCTGAGAAGTGCTTTTGCCTCGTTCCTGGTGTAAAGCTGCAGGGAAATAAAAAAAAATCGAAGTACACGCAGGAACCTATGACTGGGAAATTAATATTTTAAAATGTGAGTTATATCTTGCCCCCAAAAAATGTATATTGAAACATTATAGCAATGGTCAATAGCAGTCACTGGGTTTGAATGCTGCAGCTGGGCTGAGCATGGATAAAATACACAATAATATCTCCAAAATATACTGTGCTGCCATAAAGCTTAAGTATTATGGGAACCAGCCAATTTCTGAGGCTCTGAACTCCCTCACCCTGTAGAAACCAGAGAAGGATATGACCTTTCCAAACGAGAATTGCTCGTATTCGGGATGGCACTGAGCCTAGCCCTGCACTGCTGCTTCATAGGAAGGCTGTGTGTGGTCGTGGAGGATGGCTTTTAATGTTAGGTCATAAACAGGAGTCTTGTTAGGTCCAAGGCGGCCGAGAGGAGGTTGTAGGTCATAAGGAATGGTTCATAAATGGTCATCACAATGAGGGGAAGCTCCCTGAACCTGGGACCTGGATGCTCTCCCTGAGCTCTTCTACTCAAAGCTAGCACTCTATCACTATGACCCACAGCTCCACTTCCAGTTTTCTGGTGGTGGTTAATTGGAGATAAGAGTCTCACAGACTTTCCTGCCCCAGCTAGCTTCAAACCGCAATCCTCAGATCTCTGCCATCTGAGTAGCTAGGATTGTAGGCATGAGCCACCAGCACCTGGCCATAAGTGGTTTTCTGAGATCTCAGATCAGAGCCCGCTAAAGAACAACAGACTTGAACGACTGGAGATCAACTTTCTTCCAACTTGATCTGGTTACAGAAAGAAGGTACCAAGAAGAACAAATAGCTCAAGCTCCTGAGAAATACTCCACGTTACCTCAATTGTTCCAAAACATCAGTCTGACCGTGATGATAGGTTCTCAAAGGCTCAATAAATACTGCTCACTTTCCTCACAAGGAAGAGAAAGAATTCTGTTCACCTGTAGAGCACTTAATGCCATGGTCATTTTCCTGCAGGGAAACTGAGGGCCTCTGCCATCTGCAACTGGCTTCCATTTGTACCGTGTCACCCCATTCGGTCCACTGAGAATGATACCCTCAATGTAGACCTAATGTTCTCTATCCAAGGCCAGAAACATTGAAAACAGTGATTTATAAACACAAGGCCAGAAACACTTTTTTTATGTTAAGTGATTTATAAACACATTCTCTCATATGGCTAAGAACACAGAATTTTTCCCTAAGAAGTTAAAGTGCTTCTCAGATTTTATCTCATAAATTTACAATGGTCTACTTGGGGGGGGGGGGCAGGTAAACCAAGTCACAGTTGATGAAGAAATTAATTCAATGATATAACCAACCCCAATACACAGAATCCTTTCGGCTAACCCCAAAGGATCACCTACCCTGTCCGCTGTTGATTCCAAAGATGGAACCTCACTATGTTTTATTTAAAGTAGCATTTATACATTAGTCATCATGAGCCAGGTATTTTTCATAGATTACCCTATTGAATCTTTGCCTATAGAGGACTCTAGCATTGTCCTTCTCCATTATACTGATAAGGAAACCAAGTCACAAAGAAATTAAGGTACCTCATCCAAGACAGCCCAAGACAACAGACTGAGGAAATACAACTAACCTAGGCAGTGTAGCTGAGCACCCAGACTCTCCATAGTTTTACCACCTTTGCCAATAGAAAGTAGGGATTCTGTAGAAGGAGCTAAAAGTTCCTCAGAATCTATTGCCTCTGAATATGTTTTGCAAAGATGCTGCCAATCCTTGGGATAGCATCGCAGCTCGACACCTAATTAGGCAAATACAAACAAACCCATCACTGATGTTTTCGGCAACTCATGAGAGAGAAATCCTGCTGCTGATAGCTTGCAAGACAACAAAAACACCAGCTCCAGCCAAGATGCCTGCAGGAGATCAGAGACTAATCACAGGACAGCGGGATCCAGAGGCTGGGCTGGAGGGGCCCAGGCAGTGAGCCAGCTGCCTTCAAGGCAGCAGCAAGGGGAAGATTGCACAGGAATCCCACCCTAGCCCCTTGCCTGGACCAGCTCCTCCAGCCTCACTCACCTGGGTGCCTTTCCTTTACCACTAGCGGGCAGAAGGATGGGTAACAAGGCAGGAAATTCCCCGGGGTGGGTGGGGGGATGCAGAGAAAGCTGATCTTGTGTGCTTTTCTGGCTCAACTATGGAGGGCATGGCTGGCTCTGTGATAGCATGGTGAGGACAATGTTAGAGTCAGGAAGGGCTCCACTGCCTGGGAAGCCCGCAGTGCATGCTGGGATGTCTGATAGAGGATGGCAGCTACTTACCTGTCTTATCTCTGGGCCCTAGGCTTATGCAAATGAAATGGTCTTAGAGCCCACCTGGTCCAATCTTTCATCCAGTGTGAGGGACCTTGTTACCCTCTGTGATGGTGCAGGTCCTTCTTTAACAATCCAAATAGTTAAGAAAATTCCAGGAGTATTCCTGCTGGGAATACTGCCCATGAATGCTACACATCAGACCTACAACAAGGGACTGGGAAATCTTTGAAGAGAGTGGCTGAAAGGTCTCTTTGTTGGCTTCTGTTTGGGTCTGTCTCTGTTTCTGACTTGCTTAAGCCCTTGTCTCCTCTTTGGGAGACCGAATGTGTCCACTCCCCTCCTCCTAGGCCTCTTTCTGAGAACTGTCCCTTGTCCTGACAGGAGTCTAGAAAATAGAGCCATTTGGGGGCTACCAGATGCAAGTGGAAGCAGAGGAGAGAGCAACCAGGGCAGGGAGGAAATGTGGGAGTCTATCTGTAAATCCCATGGTGAAGAGATGGTTGGGGTAATGGAACAATGGAAAATGTATCTTGCCTGGATAAACTAAGGAGATTTAGAGCCCAAGATCCAGGCGAGAGAGAGAAACAGCCCCGCCTGGCCAGCCATGACTTAAGTCGGCATTTATATTCTACTCCACAGGGCAGCGGAAAGCTGATTAATGATTTATCAACCTCAAACTTTTATTTATCTATTATTCATTGCCAGTGGTATAAGGGGCCCCAAATTCCTAAGTATCATGAGAGTCTCCTAAGTGGTTAATCAGGCCCTGGGGTTTGGGAGATGGGAAAACAGAATGACTAGAAAGGGACTGCAATGGTTTAAGGTGTCCAGGAGTCCCTAGACACCGGTCAGCCGGGCCTGGATTTCTACTTCCTATCCATCCTGAGACAAAACTTTTCACCAAAAATTGCTTTTGATCTTTTTTCCAAGCATTTTGTGCTTTCCTTCCTTCTCTCCCTTACTGTTCTGTTTTCTCATGCACCTATGTCTCTCTGTGTGTTTCTGTCTCTCTGTCTCTGTCTCTGTCTCTCTCTTTCTCTATGTCTCTCTGTCTCTTTCTTTCCCCATTTATGAGGATTATGTATTAGATGTGCATTAGTAGACCATAGTACTAAGCAAACCACTTCCCAGGGCAATGAGCCAATTAGGTCTGCCCCTACTTACCATTTTCAACTCTTTTCTAGCCTTTCTTTCTTTCTTTTTTTTTTTTCTTTGCCAGTCATGGGACCTGAACTCTGGGCCTGGGTGCTGTCCCTCAGCTCTTCAACTCCAGTCTAGCGCTCTACCACTTGAGCCAGAGCGCCACTTCCAGCTTTTTCTGCTTATGTGGTGCTGAGGAATCGAACCCAGGGCCTCATGTATGCAAGGCAAGCACTCTACCACTGAGCCACCTTCTCAGCCCCTCTAGCCTTTCTTATCTAATACTTGCCTCTCTGATTCTCCTACCAAACCAATAAATCTGCATGCATGTACACACACACACACCCATGCACACACATACACATATGCATGCACGCGCATGCATGCACACACACACACACACACACACACACACACACCCTCCACCCTGGGAAAGTCTTGCTATTGTGCTTCCTACCCTGAGCACACCTCCCACTTCTGTGCCTGTTGCCATCTACATCTTTCTACCTCTGCCCTAGTGTAGAGAGAAACTTAAATGTTCCCTCTTCCCTCTGAAAATGTCACCATTTTAGTCTGAAATAAACTCACAATAGATGACAGACCACCAGGGAAAATCCATGCTTTATTTATTCATATGCAGAAACATAGGAGCTTTTTGAGACTCAAGTAAAGAGGGAAAGAGTGGCAGCTCATGCCTGTAACTCCAGCCACTCAGGAGGTAGAATCCAGGAGGATCATGATCTAAGTCCAGCCTAGGTAAAAAGTAATATATACCCAACCAATAAGGCAGGCATGATGGTATACTCCTGTAGTCCTAGCTTTGCAGGAGAGCTAAGTAGGAGGATAACAGTCCAACTTCATCCACCCTTGGGCAAAAATACAAGACGCTCGCTGAAAAATTAAGTAAAGCAAAAAATGCTGGGATCAAGCAATCCTAACTACAAACCTACTACTCAGGAGGCTGAGATCTGAGGATCAAGGTTCAAAGCTAGACTGGGCAGACAAATCTGAGACACTCTGATCTCCAATTAACCACCAAGAAATTCCAGAAGTAGAGTGCCCAGGCCTTGAGTTCAAGCCCCAGTACCCTCCCCAAAACAATCCACTGGGCTTATAGCTCAGAATGACAGAAGACCTGCCAAGTACGCTAGTACAACCGAAATCAACAAGCAAAACAACATGAAACCAAAATCCAGAGAGCAAGCAGGGACTCCAGGCTGTCAGTGGAGAGAGCGCTACAAGTTAGGGAAGAAATCACTCTAAGGACCAAGGCTGGCTTACTATGCAGATAAAGATCATCTGGTGTGCTAGGTACAGGTCCGGTGTCAATTCTCCCTCCATCTCTTCTTGGAAAAGACTTTCCGGGCAAAAAGGGGAAAGAGGAGACCAGATGCTCTGCCCACATCTGCTGTGGATCACTCTGTGTGTTTTCTTGAGTGTGCTTTGCTTTTGCAGAGTGCAGCTTTTAGGAACCATTCTCTCCAGGGTCTGTGGCACCCACGAATTGCCACTGGGAAATAAGCTGACAAAGATCTTCTCACCCGCCTGCTGTCTTCCTCCACAGGCTACCCACAGTACCTAGTGGTGGGAAACCACCTGTCGGGAGAGCATCACCTGAAGATCCTGAGGGCAGAGCTGCAGGACGATGCTGTGTACGAGTGCCAGGCCATCCAGGCCGCCATCCGGTCCCGCCCTGCACGCCTCACTGTCCTGGGTAAGAGCCACGTGCACACAGGGACATAGATGCTCCAGGAGGCTCTTTCTGGATGGGCAGGAAGGCTAATGCAGGCTTCTGGATACTCTACAATGTGAAGAGGGCCAGGTACAGAGAGGGTGTGTGGCATGATCTGTGCACCCCTTCTTCCTGAGCCCTCCTCTCCTGTTCCACTTCAGAGTCAGCCTGGAGCTTGACTTGTGTCCATAGGAAATAGCAGCAACTCTGGCTCCTCCTGCCTCACCCCCATGGCTCCTGGCAATCCTGGTTCTGGGGTCCATGTAAGGTTCTTCTTCCAATCTTCCCCTTGCTTTTCACCCCACATGTCCCCTGGACAGCTCTCCTGAAGAGGTCCATGGTCTCAGGCCCGCCTCAGGCCTGGGGACGGAATGGGCTTGCTTGGTGGCCCCTCACATTCCTGGTTCTGTTGTAGATCTCAGTCCTGGTCGTCTCCCTTCTCTGATGTGATGGTGTTCTGGAGGATCTCTGTCCAGCTGTTCTAGAGAATCAGGGACACAGAGCAGAGAAGCAGGCCTTACACTAGAGTAATGATATGATAGCTCACATTTGCTAAGCAGCTTGAAGCAAACCCTCAAAGCTCTGCTGCTCACTCACCTCAGCTGCTGCTGGCCCACTTGTGAGGGTCAGAGATTGCTACCCTAAGTGAGAAACTGAGGCTCAAAGAAGCAGAGGACCTGGCCTAGGCTGAGCCAGAACTCCTTACACCCCTTCCCCAGACCCTTCTGGGTGTATCTCCGCCAAGCCTGTGTGGCTTGAACGGGGACAGGCAGGAGAGAGAAGCCCAGCTACCCAGGCTGGGCAGCTGCTACGGAGCTGTGAAGACAGGGTCAGCAGCTGGGGTGCTGCCTCGGGTCCTGGCAGATGAGAGGCACGGCTGCTCGGAGATGAAATATTTAAGAGCATGTCAGGTTATCTTCAGATCTACACAGCCAAACACACGGGACAGATGATTCTAAGCACGCAGTAGACAGGCCCCAGAGGACCACTTACCAGCTCGGAGTTAGGCTGAGACAGGGAGGAGAACAAGGCCAACGTCACCAACCTCCACCCCGCAAGTCTGGCCTACGAGGAGAGAGATGGGAAATGAACTGCCCCATGGGGTAAATAGGCTGAATGACTGAGCTGGAGGCGGGCCTTAAGAGGTGCATCCATTGTAAAAGGGATCAACAGCCCCCCCCTCCACACACACCCCAAATGAGACAGGAATTCTAAGTGAGGTAGAGAGAGAGAGAGAGAGAGAGAGAGAGAGAGAGAGAGAGAAGGCTGGGGGCTTAGAAATTTTTGTTTCCTTTTCTTCTTTCTTTCTTTTTTTCATTCTCTTTCTTTCTTTTTTGTTTGTTTTGTTTGGTCATGGTTCTTGAATTCAGGACCTTGGACACTGTCCCTGAGCTTTACACTCAAGGTTAGCACTCTCACTTTCAGCCACAGCTCTACTTCTGCTTTGGGGTGGTTACTTACGTGGAGATAAGAGCTTAATAGACGTTCCTGTTCCAGCTGGCTTTGAACCATGATCTTCAAATCTTAGCCTCCAGAGCCTCTCTCTCTGTCTCTCTGTCTCTCTCTGTCTGTCTCTCTCTCTGTCTCTCTGTCTCTCTCTGTCTGTCTCTCTCTCTGTCTCTCTGTCTCTCTCTGTCTGTCTCTCTCTCTCTCTCTCTCTCTCCCTGATTTGGAGATTACAAACTTCAAGAGTACATTTGCTAAGCAAAATTGTAGGATAATCATCTTTCAAAGATACTTTCTAAAGAGGAGCAGAGGATGCTGGGAAAAGGGAAATCGCAGCATTGTCCACTCTCCTGACTGGATGCAGAAGTTAAAACCTATGCCGACTCATCTTGTCCTTAAGGCGTGTCAGCTCACAGCTAAACCTGGCCACTCAGCCCGTCTCCCCATGCTATCTCAGTCAGACAACAAAGCCCCATGTATTCAAAGTCCAAATGACTTACAGATAAGCACATGGAGAGACTCAGAGAGGCAAAGGCAATTGCAGGAGGTCACACAGCTTAATTAACATTTAAAAACACCTCTACATTTTCCAGCTCCAAGCCAATGCGTCTTTGCGTAGTCTCCTGGTCCCAAATGCCAGCAGAATGTCATCTGTCCAGCTAGTTAGGAGCCAGGCTTCTCTGAGCAGAGCTTTGGGATCCTGGATCACGTCTAGAAGGCATTTGTTCCTCCTTCCCTTTCCACAGGGGCCTGGCCTGGCATTACTTCTGGGAACAGAGCTGGGTTTGTGGGGAGAGTCTGGAGATCAGCTGAACAAGGGGTGCCTTTATAGATCCCAGCAGCATCCCCTCAGTGTAACTCTTTTTTTTTTTTTTTTTGCCAGTCCTGGGGCTTGAACTCAGAGCCCGGGCACTGTCCATAAGCCTCTTCATACTCAAGGCTAGACTCTACCACTTGAGCCACACCCTTTTTTTTTTTAGTAGTTTATTGGAGATAAGAATCTCACAGACTTGTCTGCCCAGGCTGGCTTCAAACAGTGGTCCTCAAAGCTCAGCCTCTTGAGTAGCTAGGATTTCAGGCATCTTGTCTATCAAACTTGTCTAAGCACACTGAACCAGAGCAAAAAGAAGCTACCCAGGCTTTGCAGTCCTAAGTCCTTGGGGACTCCCTAGGCCTCCATCCTCAGCCATTCCTATAAGCCCCACTACGTGCCCACTCCAGGTCCTGTTCAGTCCCACAGATCCCCCTTTCCCATGGGTCCTGCAGGGTTCTTCTTGGCAAAGTTTCTCCAAGGTGTGAGGCTGAAAAGGGAGCCCTGGTCTGGGGTGAGTGGCCGGACAGAATGGCTGTTTAGCAGAAGGGAGGGAGGTGGTCATATGCATCCTAGCCCAGCTGCCTTCCATCCCAACCAAGACCCCATCTGCTTTGCTGTGACATCCCAGCCCTGGAAAATATCCCAGCCTCTTCCCTGAGGGGGGCTGCCTTCCCAGGAATGAGAGAGCTTCCTAATTTAGTCTGTATTTGCTTGAGATAGATTTTTAATTAAATAAAGTAAGAGCCTGATTAGAACCTGCAGAAGATGTGAGAGCAGAATCAGATGGTATTCCGACGAAATTGCAAAGCAAACACTTTGGCTGGAACAGAGGGAGGCCTCGGGGGGTCTTCCATCAAAGCACCAAGTGAGGAGGGCAAATACGAGAGATTATATAGCCAACAGATGTGCGTTGTTAAAATATGCATCTGCCGGCAGCAGGCCGAGAGAAGCCAGAGGGCCGGTTCTCAGAGCCTGGCCAGCTCTGGGGAGGGTGTGGGACCCGCCCGCAGCCAAACCCAGAGTCACAGACACATTAATTAGCGTTGTGTTTTCAGCTCTCAGATGCAATCAGGCAAGGAACAACTTTAAGCTGAGCGTGTATAACCCTGAGGGGACAAGAGGGAGGAGCTGGAAAATGAGGGAAAGATGGCTGGAGGAATGGCACTAGAGAAAACTGGGGAGCCGCCGTCTGGGCTCATGGCTGCTGTGTTTTCTCCATACCCCAACCAGCTGTCCAGATCCAGACTCAGCTTGGCCAGGGAGCCAGGCAAGGCTTTCAACTCACAGTACAACTCAGGAGGCTTGACGTCCTGAAAAGAGCCACAGACTCAGAGGCAATAGCGGCCCTCCCTCTAGCCCAGCTGTGTGATCATGATCTCATGACTCAACCTCTCTGGGTTCCAGTTTCTTCACCTATAAAATGAAAGGTGATGCTTTAAAAAAAGGAGTTGATGGCTAAGAATGGTCCAGTTCCCAAAAGGCTTTATTTCCAGAGTCAGGAGTCCAACTTGCTTGCATCAACTATTTTAGGAAATTGGGCCAGCCCCCACCAGAGCTGAGATTCGTATGGTGCCTGAGGCTTAGCAGGTAACTGATCAGAATGGCTTGGACAACATCCCACCTTCTGCTAGGAGAGGGGACCTCTCAAAGTCCAACCTGTCCTGGGATTCTGGACTTGGCTCTGGACCTTAACCTCCAGGTCGCCCTTGGTATCCAGATTCTCTGTGTCTCTAGCCCTTTCTGCAGAGGTTCAGTTTAGCTGGCCATTTTGACCTTCTAGCACATGTACAGAGCTGTGGTGTGGTAAGAAGAGCTCTGGGCTGAGAAGGAGAACACCCTCTTGCCACTCACTATGACTTGGGGCAATGGCATTAGAGATGAAATGCGACTTCTTTGGTCCAACTCCTTAAACCACACTTAGTCCAGAGCAGGTATCCAATATATTTGTTTATTCTGTGTGTGTGTGGCAGTGTGTGCACGCAGGTGCGCATACACATGCCAATACTAGGGCTTGAACTCAGGGCCTAGGTGTTGCCCCTTGGCTTTTTTTGCTCAGGGATATCACTCTACCACTTGAACCACAGCTCTATTTCTAGCTTTTTGTTGGTTAGTTGGAGATAAGAGTCTCATGGAGTTTTCCTGCCCAGGCTGGCATCAAACCATAATCCTCAGATCTCAGCCTCCCGAGTAGCTAGAATTGCAGACATGAGCCACTGGCATCCAGCTTATTTTTTTAATGAAAATGAATGAATGAATGAGTTTAGTAAAGAGATCAACCAAATAGCACTGTGAACATCAAACGCGCACACACATATACACTCTACAAACAATAAAGAACCATGCATTTTAAAGCTCTACACACACACACACACACACACACACACACACACACACACACACACACACAAGTGCACAGTGCATGCATATTTTCCCAAAGTCAGAACTGTAGGATCCCATCGTATGTCACCTTCACAACTTGCCTGAAGACCCAGAACTCAAGGAATTGGGATTCCCTGGGCAGGAAGGAAATCAGTGCCAAGGATTTGATCAACAAATATTTTCAGCACACATAGCATAGATGGAGCACTCATCCACCTACTCGAGATTCACCAGTAAACAAAAGGCTCTCTCTGCCTTAGTGGCAGTTGGGTCCTACCAAGGAGAGAGACAGCCAACAAATGACAGATTAAACAAGTAAATCATGCCATAGAATCTCATTTCT